CCTGCACTGTGAATGTTTACATGTTATGTTCAATTAAACCATGGCAACATGTAATGTTTGTGTATTATTATTTTCAGCAGACTGTGTTTTTCTATTGTTGTGACTTAGATGACGTTCAGAGCACATTTTATGACCAATTCATGCAAAACTCCGCGTTATCCCAAGGGGTTCACATACTTTTTCTTGCAACTGTATGTATGGTTATATTCCAATAAATGAAACAGTTTCTATATCAGTTTGGGAGAAACTATGATTACAACCTTACTCAAATCATTGTATTGATGCTCCTTTGAAGTAATGTTCCATTTATATTTGCTGTTAATATGTAATCACAGGAGAATACTGAATAGAAGAGTTCATTTGGAAGTTGTTAGCTTTATTATTTAATTTTAGGGCATTTGGGGGAGTGTTTAATTGAAAATCAAACATGTATTTTAGAGATATTAAATGAAACCTAATAATTCTATATACTGTATTACAATAGACTCTAATCCAATTTCATGCATAGCTTTAATGCAATACTAAATCCAAGAACCAAGTGGCCTCTAATCTACTGTTATTTATATTATAGATATTTTATTGATTTTCTATTTTCACAAACAAGTGCTCAATAAACAACGTGATGACTGAGTCTATTAATAATTCGGTGATACATATAAGTTTTTCCAACCAAGTCTAATGTTACACCCGCCAGTACATCCTCTCTTCTTCTGGTAATAACAATTTTTCGCATTAGGCAAATACAATTCTTATTATTGTTAGTAGACATACAATTGCATATCAACATTTATTACATTTTTCTAATGATATCAATAATATCAATTTAAAATATCTTTCCTAGCCAAAGCATATCTTAATTACATTTGCATTCAATTTCCACATATTTAATCCATATCCTATTTTTGCTTTTTTTTTTGTTTTGTTTTGTTTTTCAATTTTAATTTTCCATCCATGTTCAAAGTATCCAATCATTTATAATTTCAAAACAAGTTATATTTGGGCAACCAAAAGAATCCCTTATTCAAAGTTCTTAACATATTCTTATTTCCCTTTTCATATCAAGATATAATATTCTGATTATAAATCCCAACTATCTAGTTATGATAATACTTCTATTTCTAGCAATCTATTAACCATATTCAAACCTCTAATCAATAATATAGCATCCCCTCTAATAGGTCAAAGCTTCTGTTGCCTTCAGTCTTACTCTAGCTTTCTTTTGCCCACTAACTTTTCAAGTTAGTGCATTTGGATCATCAAATAATTCTTCCTCTGTTTTTATATATATTTGGAACAAGAGAAACAATTTGGTTAAAATGCTTTTGGAAGAGCTAGCCCGTTGATATTCTTCTCTGGTTCCCCACAGTTCTGTTAACGATTTTATCTTCCATTCTGTTAGCTCTCCTTTCTTGTCATGCAGTATGTTCTGAAACCTTGGTTTATAAAGTGTCTTTTCCATTTCCAATATTATCGTTATATCTTCTGAGTTTTCATTTATCTGAGTGGTAATTTATTTCCTCCTTTAAATCAACAAGGTTTGCGTCAGCATTCTCTAGTTTTCCTTCTATTTTCTGGATTGCTGGTTCCTTCTCTGTAGTTGTCTTCTGAGTTTGTAGATTTGAGTTAGAAAATTGTTTTTTTATCTCCTTTGTGTTATTAGTAACCTGTTCACAAGCTAGAATAATTGTTTTTTAATTTGTATTAGTTTCAGCATGGAGAGAATTTCTGTATTTCATCAATATTTTCTTGGTGATATGGCAAGTTAGGGCTGCTGGGAACAGATGTTAAAGATGATGCTTTACTATGCTTTACTGAGTATGAAACATCCATTTTATTTTATTTTATCTTTATAAGTAGCCTTTATAGTAGACATGTCAAATTTGCAACGTTGCGCAACGTATCGGAACTTTTTCCCCATTGCCGGCAATGGGTTTGTGTGGTTTCCTTGTGATGCGTCCGGCATGTGGGCTGGCAGTTTGACACCCCTGCTTTATAGATTTATCTAACCGACTGTCCGTTCCTGAATCTCTCCGAAGCAGATATAAGTAAAGTTCAAATTTTTCTGTCCAATAAGAAATATATTCTTTCTGTTCAGGGGAAAAAAAGAATAATTGAGGGTTGTTTAACAGCCAAAATGTAGTATTCCATATATTTTTTCAAAAAAATAAATAAATCCACAATACAGTTCTGGAAATCAGTATTTATGTTCAAAATTCAGACAGGCCAAGTTTAAAATGTTTATCATTTTTTCTTTTTTCTCAACTATAATTTTCAATAATAAAATAGTTCCAAGGCCAGTCAAAACCTTATCTAATTCTGGGCTTCAAGCCAGATTTTTTAGGCATAAATAAGTTGTAGTGCCATGATTCATCACTAGATGTCATCAACGCCAGTTTCCGGTTTTTAGATCCAAAACATACTGTATTGTTAAACTTTTCAAGTCTTTTTTTTTAGAAAAAATAAAAATTAAAAGGTCTTAAAAACACTTTTAGTCCCCAAATTTTCAAGCTGTAAGTATATTTTAGTTCCAGTTAAGTCTTATAGGTTTGCCAGTATCCCCAAGTATTAATTCGCCGCTTTTCTTTTCTGAGGGTGTGGGGCGGAAATTCCCTTTCCTCTTTCATGGGGGGGGTGCTTTGGGCAGCTTTTCAGGAAGAGGTCTCAAAATCATAAAGGATCAGGTCTCACCCAGTTTCATCCACATTGCTGTAAAGTTGCTTGTAGTGCTGGTTGACCTCCGTAGTCCGCAGCTTAGGGCTGGCTATACAAATGCAGCCAGTCTTTCTCCCGCCGGTTTGGAGGGCTTCCTTGGATAAAATGGGGGGGGACTGCCACCACCACCCCCATGAACAACAAGCATCCCCTCTTCACTGCCTCTACAGGGCGACTTTCGACCCTTTCCAGGGTCCCCCAGCGGGACGAAACCAGACATGAAAGATAGAGCCCCATCTTCTTATGCTTGCATCGTCGCAAGATCCCAACCAGAAGTCTAATCTACTGTTATTTAGAAGAGTCATGAAGACCTGGCTCTTTATTCATGACTTCATCAATGGAATCAATTGTGCTTTATTTTTAATGTTTTTTTGTAATTTCTGTTTAATTGTTGGAGCAGCACAGAGTCGTTGAAAGTCAGGCAGCATACAGATTTAATACATTCTTTTTATTATAGTTCACTGCATAGTTATCTATTTAGAATAGATTTGGCATTTTATCCACCTATCCAAGGAACTGGGATAGGTAAAAAAAATATTTTTATTAGTCCTGATGATACTAAGAATCTTGTTTGAGTGTTTGATGGTTTTTCTTGTTTCAAATTATATGTCCTTTGCTGTTTTTGTGAACTTGCATTCCTCTTATCTTCCTACCTATTCTACTTTATCTGCTCATTGTTCAGCCCCTTTATCTTGCATCTGAGTGCTTCTAGTAAAGGGTGCTGAAGCTCATTAAGCTTATGGACCTTAATGAAATTTAGTCAGAAAAACTGCTACTTCTGATTTTATTTATTTTTTTTGCTTTAGACTGACAGTTCTCCTTTTACTTTGTCTTTCCTCCCTAATCCTTTTCCCAGTAATCAGATTGTATGTTAATCACAAATTTTATCTTCTATGAATATAAGACTAACAAGTTATCCAATTTTCACAACCACTGATCATCCAATACCAGCACAACTCATCTAATCACATCAGAGGCTTTTTGTAAAATGAATACAATATAGATATTATGAAGAGTCATTGCTGTCAGACTTTAGTGTCATTATGTTACTTGATTGAGTGGCATGTTTTCTTTCCAGGCTGGAACTGGTCCATTTAACAGAGCAAAGCTCCTTAATGTTGGTGTCCATGAGGCCATGAAAGACAATGATTGGGACTGTCTGCTTCTACATAATATGGATCTTATTCCAGAAAATGACTATAATCTTTATGTCTGTGACAAATATTATCCCAAACACTTGTCCACTGCTATTGACAAGTTATATTACCGGTAATGTCTTAAGAATATGAAAGTAAATATGAAATAAAATAATCTGACCAAACATGGTTTATTGAATATATTTACTAATTCATTATCTGAGTCATGTATAATGAATAAACATATAGATTTATATGCACACTCAGTTTTTTAAAATTAATTCCAAACCTTTTCATGTTCCATCCAGGACATCTGTTTTCATTTAGATTGAATTTATACATTTTTGACAACATTTTAAACATTTAGGAATTATACTTAAGTATGGCGGTAGTTATTTTTAAAAAGTTACTGCATGAGTTATTTTATTTGACACTCAAGCAATGATTTTCAGAAATCATAGCTACTTTCTAATTTGCAATATTCAGATGCTGAAATATTTTCCTAGTTGCATTTTAAACTCTGATACTAAATGTAATTATTTAGACATCAACTCTATATATCTAAAAAAAATTAGGTCTATTTCAGAATTATATATAGAATTAGCTTTTAAGTTTATTAAAGTCTTGAAGTTTCCAAACATAATTCTTTCACAATTATTGCATACCTACCTTTTCTCTGGGTTCTAGGTCTCTTCTGTTGTATTACCTTAACTACAACAGTTTGTAAAGTATATCTGCCTTAAAGTGATAATTCACCTAAAGCAGGGGTCTTCAAACTTGGCCCTTGTATGACTTGTGCACGCTGGCTGAGGAATTCTGGGAGTTGAAGTCCACAAGTCATAAAAGGGCCAAGTTTGAAGATCTCTGACCTAAAGTCACCTGGTAAGGATTTAAACATGTGTCTTTCAGGTCCCAGTCCAGAATTTTAACTGTTAGAGCACATTGATTTTCCTGTGCTCATTTCTAGTTTAGCACAACAAAAAGAATTGAATAGAATTCAAATTAATGTAATATATTGCACAGGTGTGAAAGGGCTAGAGTAAAGGGGAAAAAGTAATATCTAAGTGCATTTACTTGTATGGTGAATCCATGTGGTCTTTGCTTATAAAATCACACACCTTAAGTTTATTTTTCTGTGCAGCCTGCCATATTCATCCTATTTTGGTGGTGTTACTGCTTTGACCCCAGACCACTACATGAAGATAAATGGGTTTCCAAACACATACTGGGAGCGTCTTGATGAAGATGATGACATTGCAGAAAGGTATTTATTTACTGAAATATTATAGTATGTTCAAGCATTAAAGTTGTAAGCAAGGCAAATATTGTGGGTATTAAACAAAAAAGCAATAAAGATATCCTTTTTCATTAGTTATTGATAGTGAATATTTATATAGGTAGAAAGTATCCTCCAATCAAACAGTGCCATTTTATACCTCTTCCTGAAATTGAAGAAAAATGAAGCTAAGGCCATGATTATATTTTGTATTTGCAACATATTATAAATATTTTTAAAGGCTGAAATGGATCTGAATATCATCACATATTGTCTTGCTTATCTTAGCATTTCAAGTTATTTTCTTAATTCCGTATCAGTCAGATTATAATATAGTAAATAGCTATTCAATTGGAAATTACTAGAATTTTTTTAACAACTTTTGCCTGTTTTCCCAAAACACTCTTTACATTCCAAAACTTGTATTTCTCTTTGTTTTTTAATCAACCAATAGTACAATAAGCTATGTTGATATTTCACTGGCAAAGCTTGTCCATATGTACACAGTACACGTTTTGAAAAATTAGCTTTGGGGCCAAAACCTAAGAATCTTGTGATTTTATCACAGTCCATATGCTAAATTACAAGGTACTGTGCTGCTTTACTTCTATAAGCTTCTGATATAATAATCTGTATTAGTGATGGGTGATTACACAGGGAAGTTCTCAACTAGAATTCTTAAGTCTTATTGAAGAGTCTAATCTGATAGGTTTTTTTTAGGATCAATAAATCTAGAATTATTAAGACTGGCTACTGTCCAATATATGAAATGCTTAACTTTATTAATTTTTTTATTTTATTATTTTAATAAACACTTAGGTCCTTGGACAATTTTAAATCATGCAAATGCTGGCACTTTTTTGCTGTGTGTGACTTTATAGTCACATACTTAAAACTAAAGCATTCTTCACACGCATCTTAATATTTTAGGATAAGCACAATTTCAACAAGTGCTTCTCATAAGAAAGTAGACTCACTATATTTTGTCATTTGTTTGTTCCTGTCAGAAGAAACTGCAATTCTGCCAAGCATATTCTAACATTCCTGCTACATACCAGCTGCTACCAAATTATGCCTGTCAGTTGTAATAGTTTTATTATTAACAATCAGTTTTGAACATTATTAGATTATAAAAGATCTAATACGCATCCACTCAGTATTTAATCTACTTTCCACAATATATCAATTTTTTTCCTTCAGCTAGTTCAAAAGGTGTAATTTAGATTGTCATCCAATAGAATTAAAATATGTGCTCTATGGTAGGTTAATAAATTAAGTAACTTAAGAGAAGGCCACTGAAAGTTTGCTGCATTTTATTTCAGATGACTGCTTTATACCATTTCTCAAAATAACAAAAACCGCAATATCCTCAAAGGCTTTTGAAGAAAACCTCAAAATGGCTAGTCTGTAAACAAAAGTATATCTATGCCTCCATCTCCCTATTTTTCCATAAATATTCTAATTGCATTCATGACTTCCTTTTTATAATTTTTTTGCTTGGATGTTAACATTTATAGTATTCTTTTACATTCAGTTCTTTGGATGCCTGTATCATTCCCATACAGATTTTTTAAAATAGTCATTCCAGTAGTCATTTAAGTTTCTTTCCATATCATTTTATCACTTCTATTTGAAATTCTATTTGTCCTGCTTGGGGTTCTTGATGAGCTTTCTTCTTCCATTTCTAAAATAATGCTTTAATTTCTATCAGATTTGCGGCATTTTCATTGCTTGTTTTAATCTTAAACATTCCTTGTTCTGACTTTATTTCGCTTTTCTTAAGTATTGTACATAATCTCGTCCTCATCTTTTGCATGTCATTATCATTGATGCATTTTTCCTCATCCATAGCTCTTTTTTCATTTACCACTCTACCAAATATCTTTTTTCATATGTCTCTTTAGTTTCCATGGCACTGGGTTCCAAATAAATGCAGGTATGATTTTAAACCTTCCATGATAAGAGTGGGGTTTTGTACTGATGGAAATGAAAATCCACATGAAACCCAGTTGCAGGAAAAAAAAAACCTTCTCAAAGGACTGCTCTAAAGAAAAGTGGTCAGCACTGTAAGGAATATTTAAAACTATAAACTTGTTTTAGCCAGAAAAGAGAGTAGCATTATTTACTGTCTAGAAAGTAGTTGCAATACCTTTTTCAATTGTACATTTGCCTGTTTTCTTATTGTGAAAGCTATGCTCTGAAGTGATTTTTCTCACCATGTTTTATTTCAAAAAGGATCCATATAACAGGAATGAAAATAATTCAGGTTCCTCTACATGTTGGACGTTACAAAAAGATGGGTTATGGACAAACAGTTAGCCCTTTACTGAGGCTAAAAAGGTGATTGTGTTTGTTTTTGTTTTGTTTTCTGGTCAAGTTCTATCATAATTTTCTCTCCCTTATGTGAAGTATTGTTTGTGTATAACACTGCAGATCACATTCCTATCTATTTTAAATTGAAGTGGGATCATCCTATGCAGTTGGTCCAGAATGCAGCGGCATAATTGCTGAATGGTTAGCTCCTGGAGCATTGATGTAATATAGTAGATACTACACAAATGCTGCAGGAACTACTCTTATTACCAGTAAATTTGTCAGTATGGTTCAAGCGCTGATCACTACAATTGCTTTGGGACTCACAACTCCATTGCTAAGTTACTTTTTTCATCACTGTCGTAACTTTGAATAGCTTGCCCTCTCAGACAACAGTGACCGTTGGCCTTTCAGAAGTAGGTGAAAATATGGTTCTTCTGGAGGACCTTCAGGGATTAATTTTAAGCAGCAGTATTATATTCAATAAATGTTAATTTATTTTTGACATTTCATTAAATTAAAAATATAATTAAAGTAGTAATATATTGACTTGTATGTAAGTTCTGTAGGCTACCTAGACTCCTTTTAAACAATAGATTTTTTTTTAAAGAAAGGAATGTTTGTAGCCATTGGCAGGGCTAAATATCAGCAGACGAGCAAATATATTTAAGTACAGGCTCCAGTAATATATGTTCTGGAAACATGGCTTGCGGCTGTATTGGAACTGCCAAACAGAAGTACAGTGTCGATAGTACTTGCATCATCTGACCTAGAAACTCCCCTCCATCGTATACATGATAAACTGCTTATTACTGGAAGTGAGGGAGAGATATCTGTAAATCCTATCTCCATACTTCAAAAAATGGTTTCCAATATTCAAAAGCAACAGAATACCAATCACGTAGATTGAAAGTAAACATTTGTTAGTCTATTTAGTTAGAACCGGAGAAGGCTGGCTCTATACCTCCTCTTCCCCCTTCTATCGTCCAGGGTTTTGTATGATAAATTAGAACGTGGAGTATATTCCCAGTTCAAATTGCATCAATGAGGTCTCAGTCACGATAAATATTTTTCACCCAAATCAAGCTTCTCTGGCTATAATTCACTTTTTTTAATTGGACCAAATGACTATATGATTGGGGTCTTACCTACATTACTTCTTAAATTCTGACAATATATTTTTGCATAATGGATGTTCTGTTCGTGAAGAACCTCTGATATACAGTATGTCCTTAATAATACTCATTTTTCTTCTTACGAGAATCCTTCTTAAAAATATTACATAAGAAAAGAGTTTCCTTTTGCCTATGCTTGTTTTGTAATACAAGAAACAATGTTCTTTTGTCTTTCTAAAAAGTTAGTAATGAAACATTGTTTGATTTGCATTTCTTCTGCAAAATATTCCTGGCTTATCTAAACTGGAATCTTGCTTTCCCTAGGCCTGCTGAATTGCATACTTCCCAAACATGGAAAGATGATGGAACAAATTCCCTTGTCTTCAAACTCTTAGAAAAGAAGAAAAAATACCTTTATACGCACATTATGGTAGATATTGGAGCCACACCAGCATTACCACCTCCAAGTAGAAGAAAAAGGAATAACACTTGACTTCAGCATCATCTGAAGCTTTCATATCTTCGAGCATTTTACAAACTAAACTCACCAGGACAAGAAGGAGGGGAAAGAGAACATTGCTTTTGCATGCATTTGACCAAATAAAGCAGGAGCCTAATACAAGGTACTAAAGAAATCATATCTGGGGTAGAATGGTTTTGCTTCATTGACATAGAAATATGTAGAAATTACATATTCTATCTTGTTCTGCAGTAAACTGCCAGGAGCTAGAAACTATAGTTCTGCTATAGGAATTGTCAAGTACCATTAACAAATTAGTCTATAAACAATTGCAAAATAACTACTGGATCCTGTGCTCTTTTCTAACTTGCACAAGTCTTCTGCATAGTAAATATTTAAAAAGTTACATTAATGGTATGACCAGTTTTTCAATAATTGTATGAATTTGGAATTGACTTACAGGTCTTCTTTTGAAAGGCTTTTCATTAGAAAATTCAGTTTTCTATACACATATTTAAAGAAAGCTAATGTTAATTTTTAAAACATTTTAGTGAATTTTAATAAACATCTTATGTAAGTTTTTGGATGAAATGATTGTCTGCTTTTTTAATTAACACATTTCATTGGAGTCTCATGTTATTATTTAAAAAAGTTTGAAACATTTCTGTAGACAAACTGATGAGACAGAGCAGCTGTTTATGTATTTGCTGTATTAAAAATCTGGAATTAATGGATATGGAGATTTACCCTGTATTATATCCCACATATATAGCTCACTGAATCATCATAGAACCCTTCCTATAGAAAGAGTAGGAAATCTGTAAATATTTAAGCAAGATTGCTGTTTGTTCAAAGCACCAATGTTGAATCTTATTTCCCTCTGTCCATTTGTAAATCTGGAGAAAATAAGGAGTGTTTGCTTTTCAAGCCTATTATGTGGTTTGCTGGTAGCCACCTTGAAAATACAAAAATAATTTGACTTTGGGTGGCTGGAATACTATTGTTCTGGCTCATTTTTTTAAAAATATAGTGAGGGTTCACATTTTTCCATAGGACTAAAGCAATGGTATATGCTTTAATTTAATATCAATTTATCTACTTGTGTACTCTATGCAAATAAGTTTGGATGTTATCCTTTAAAAAATGAAAAGCACAGCATAATCAATTTCTTTTAATAATAAATTCTCACACATTCTTTAACAGATATTGGGATAAATATGAAAACAGAAGATAAACAGCTTTTACACTATTCAGTTTTATTTTTTCCTTGTTTAAGAAAAAGAAATTATGTACCACCCCTCTTTAGAATATTATGAGTAGTTCTTCAGCTGAATGGAAGAAACAAAGACATTTTAAAAAGTTGGGTTGAAAAAAAGTCTTGCTTCATTGAAAAGTTAATGGTTGAATTGTTCTTATATCTGTTTCAAAAAAATGTTCAGTAGAATTCTTTATAAAGGATTACTTTTATTCAAAGAAAGTCTTTAATTTTCAGCTAATCAAAGTTGTCTTGTAGCTCAAAAGGAAGTAACTAACAAATCTATGTTTTAAAAACATCCCCTGTGTAAAGAACTTGTTGAGTATCCACCAACAGAAAATGAAATATTTCACTGCTGTAGCTCAAGTCATTACTTTTTTTTGGTCCATTCATATAAAATTTATTAGGCATAAGAAATGGTTATGAAAACTTAGTTTGCCTTCCAAAATCCACTGTAATATTTGTATATAAAGGATTGTATTCTTTTGAAAGCAGTTTATAGGAGCATGAATTTAGCCCATCAGTCTTCCATACTCGAGGCACCTGATGCAAGAGATTCATTCTGAAGAGATTTTAAAGTTAGAGGTAGGAGGAAAAAAGAAAAAAAAATAGGTCACATTATATAAAGTCATATGTTAAAATGCAGTTCAAGAGACTACATAAATAAACTTGTTTTCATGCCATCCATTCTCAGGTGTACAAAGAATCTTCCAAACATACCAGGAACACAATCCACAATCTAGTTTTTCCCATCACCAATTATACTCTTCAATGGAATTTGCTTCACAGACACATTTTCTTAACTCACCTCTGGCCATTTGCCTCATTGCCTTGGTCTCTAGTGTGAAAAATCATAGTGTACTTGGCTATACTGGGGGAAGGTCGGATTATCTTCATTTTCTGCATTTCAACCCTGAAAACAAAAATGTGACAATTTGTGAGTAATGAAAAGCTGTGAAGTGCAAGCCTTCTGGTAGATCATTAGAGAATATGATGGAGAGCTACCTGGCCATTTTGCTTTGTTGGTAATGACTAGGAAAGCACACATGAAAACAACCATGACATGATTTCAACATTCCAGTCCTGAAGAGAAGAGAACTGAAATACAGGCTCCTTCTCAAATTGTACATTTTACTTCCCTTAAATCTAACTATAATGCTATATGAATGAATACAGCAAGCCCAGAATAAGCACTAAATAAACTCGCACTGAAAAGTGGAAATAGCACAATTTTCATGAATCCCACTTCCTCTCCAAAAGCCCTATGTTGAAGGCAGAAAAATCCTCAAAATAACTTTCAGCATAACTAACATTCCACTATGAAGTATGTCACTTTTCTGGGTTAATGGCTGAAAATAGTAAAATTTTGGTTTAATGAAGGACTGTCTTAGTACAAGATGCAACTGCATGTTAAGACTAATACTATACCTTGGAAGAGGTGTATCAGAACACAAAGGAATACAAGCCCTGCACCTAACTAATTCATTAAAATATGCCTTTTTCCAGAATCATGCTGCTTTGGGGAAGTGTTCACAGAAGCCATGCGATCTTGGAAACATACAACTGCTTGAATGAGTTATAGACAATGCACTTGTGCTCCAAACTACCTCTTCTGAGTCAAATACCAAATTTGCACAGCTGAACTATGTACAAGAAATACATGCTGATGAAGAGGTAGATAAGATCAAAGTTTCCTCAGTCAGTGCATCCCAACCAATGTTCAATGAAATTGAACTGTGGGAAATTTGTGAAGGTAGATAAAGAATTTGTAACCTGTGGAATACATTGCTACAAGATACAAGGATGCCAATTAGAGCAGAGAGTTTTAACAACATTAAAATGATAGAGGATAAGGCTATTGATCACAACTACTAAGCAGGTTCTCGGTACCAATCATCAGGATATATAAGTAGGATATCGTAACTACTTATATACTTACTGGTCATCTTGAAAATAAACTCCTGAACTAGATGAGTTTTTGATCTATTTCAGAATTGCTTTTCCTAATCTTAATTCTCCAACTGCTGCTGCTGCTTCTAAAGTGGAATAGCTTGAGTGGGATGTGAAATAGAGAAAACTGCCTATTAATTTGTTCCTGCACTTCACTCTGGAGCTGATTTTTTTGTTTTTCAGGATTCCAGATGAGCTTTTATTATTAACAAAGTGAAAGAAGAGGTTTGCAAAGAATGGAAAACAGAGCGGGGAAAATTGTTCACATGTTACTTTTCTGCCTTTTAAATTTGGCTTTGAAACCGCTTTTCCCTAGAAGTAGCAACCATGTGTAATATATGTAATAATGCTAATAGTGAGCAGAATAATTTATATTACATTGTGGTATAATGGAATGGGTACTGGACTAGAACATAGGAAACTCAGGTTCAAGTCCATTTTTAACCATGATAGCCAGACCCTGTTACTACCTTCTCAGTCCATTTCACTCTGCAAAGCTATTGTAAGAACTGAATGCAGGAATGCTATGTATGTAACATTCAGGTCCTACCTAGAGGAAAGGTAGGATAGATTTAATATATAAACAAATCATTGAAATTGTTCCTGCACATTGTTTCTAACATGGCCAGTAAGTCCTGAGATCTGGGCAGGCATCATGCTTTCTTAGCTCTTCACAACTCATTGAAGCTTGATGCCATACTAGATGTGATTGTCAACCATTTTTACCTGCCTAAAGCAATGGAAAAAAACAAGGAATTTAATCAACCAGAATAAAAGCCTATGTTAAAGCCTACATATTGATGGCAAAAAGTCTGTAGTTGGGGCTCAACTGCAGAAGTCCTTGAAAGAAGCAGATGATCTGAATATATCATCATATATTACTGTATTGATTGCTATTGTGGATGATCTGGATAGGGAAGAGCAGTCTTTGTGACCTTATTAGGCCTCACAGGTGCTTTTGATATCATTAACCATAGGATTCATCATGTGCCATCTGCAAGAGTTGAGGAATGTAGCCACTGTTTTATAGGGTTTTTTTCTTCCTTTGTTCAATTACAGTGACGGAGAGCCAGTTTGGTGAAGTGGTTAAGGTGTTGGCCTAGAAACCAGGAGATGGTTTATAGTTCTAATCCCACTTAGGCGTGAAAACTGGCTGGGTAACTTTGGGCCAATCACTTTCTCTCTGCACAACTTACTCCACATGTTGTGGGGAAAATAGGAGGCAAAAGAAGGAAAATTATGTATGTTTGTGATTTGCTTAACACTGCCTTGCTTAGCAACAGAAATATTGATCCCAATTTTGGTTGTAAGTTGAGGACTACCTATATGAACATCATAGTCTTGTCCTTAACTATCCCTGGCTACAGGAGAGAGAATGCAGGAAGGAAGACTGCCACTAATTGTAAAGAAAAAAATATACAGTAACAGAGACCAGATGTTTGCGAACAGAAACATCTCCATAGGGATATGGTTTGCTTCTTGTCACTGACACTGTCAAACAGATTGGATAACTCTCTGTTGAGGATGTTTCAAACTCAACTGCTACACTGAGCAGGAGGATTCAATGGCCAAGACTTTGGATTAATTTCAGCAGCACTGATCCATTTGCAATTTAACTAAGAATCAATTGACTAAAGGAGGGTGATGGAAGTGCCCTTATCTATTCCAGTGTTCGCCAGACAAGTGTTAAAGAGATGTGTTGAGACAATTTTGGAAGTTATAATTTCAAAACATTGCAAGGCACCAGATTGGGAGAGGCTAGTATAAAACAATTTATAGAATGAAAAAGAAGAACAAAGTAAACAAAGCATGAGCCAAGATTCTTGATTCTAGCATAGCATTTTTTAGCATTCTTCCTTTTAAAAATAAGGGCTACACTATCTGTTCCTCTGAATGCTAACTATTTATCTTCTTGCAAAACGCAGCTTTGTTGACCTTTAGGAAGAAAGGCAAACAGAATGAACCAGTTCTAACTGCTACATTTGCTGACAGGCAGAGCCCCAAAAAAATCAGAAAAACACAACAGAAATTTCATTGAGAAGGATTTTGTAATTGTTATTCATTTTACTGGAACTTACATTGCTTTGTTTTTCATCTAGGTCGGGTAGTCAACCTTGGCTCTTTTATGACTCGTGGACTTCAACTCCCAGAATTCCTGAGCCAGCTAAGCTGGCTCAGGAATTCTGGGAATTGAAGTCCACGAGTCATAAAAGAGCCAAGGTTGACTACCCCTGATCTAGGTCTATGAGATCCTTCTGGCTGGACCACTAGAGCTCAGCCAGTTCAGAAGCCTTGTACAACTGTTCTGAAGGCTGTCTCTTGTCTCCCCATGAATAGTCCATGCTCATCAGAAGCACATGCACAAAAAGCCAGCCTTCAAAGCATTCTTCTTTTTTTAAAAAAATAGGTTTGTTTGAAAATTCCTCCATTAATTGTATTGTTGAGCCCCAAAGCAGATACATTGCAGTTGTATTGTTCTGCAAATGGCAATTATGATAGTGTGCAGACAGGTACTAGAACAAGCCTAAGACATTAGCCTACAGTTGCATCATAGGTTCCCATACATTGACCCAATTTTGAATGGTTTAATTATTGTTTATTTGTTGCTGAATTATTCCCACCTTGCACTAAGGGGGCAGCATTACTTTCATGCTGCTTCATAGAAGAGGAAACCTGAAATAATCCCAATACAGAGGGGTGATTAAAAACATGTAACAAGAAGATTGCTTGTGGTCTCAAGCTGTCTTAAGAAAATCATGTCATGTAAACGCAGCGAATCCTAGTTAGTGGAGTGGACTTCCAGGTTTTTAAAATGTCAAGATAGTTTCATATTTCTGATTAGGCTTTCTGCATGCCAACTCTGACTCGGTTTCCAGACTCTCTTACAATAATTTGCTTTAACAAAATTTGAGTCATACCACAGGAAAGATTTCCATCACCCACAGTCCATGCCACCCACTTTGCATTTGACTGAAATGTACCTGATCCGGAGGTCATCGTCCTCTCCTCCCCAGCCCCAGTAGTTGTTTGAAAATCCATTCACCTTCAGAAATTGTTCCCTTGTCAGAGCAGTTACACCGCCAAAGTATCCTTGGTAACGCAACCTATGAACACATATGCAGGGGCAGGAAAGTTATTTTTTTTAAAAAATGGCATTTACATATTTATCAGAAACAGAAAGTTTGCACAAATCCAACTTTTAAAAGAAACAAAAAAGCAACAATACACATCAATACATTTTTATACGTTTTCCCAAGGAAGGTATGCCAAAGGTTTTGGGCCTTTACTATATCAACTAGCCCTGCACGATGATTTTGACAATGATGACAAGCCTCTTCTCAATACCTATTGGAATTATAATAAACCCATTCAGAACTGGTGGATTAAACTCATATACTAAACACCTGCATCTAACTTATCTCCCATTTGGGGAATCTGGGGAAAGAGGCCTTTTGAACCCCCTGGATAAATTCCAAATGGTGTGACAAACATCCACTAAATCACTGGATCAAGGAGGTGGTTCATCTGTTTAATTCAATTTATTCACTTCTGACTCCCCCTATCCTGAAAAAAAAAGTTAAGATTATACCCGTTGACTTCAAATAATGGATGGTCCAATGATAAGTCAAGGTGTAAGTATTATGCATCTTTACCTACTTTAGTAGCAGGTAGAACAAAATGAAAAGTAAAGGAGTTGATACAGATTGGGCTTTCTTTTAAAGATATTGACAACTTAGCTGAATCCATTTTGGTAATGTACAGGCCCAGTGGGGCTGGTTCTGATTATTGTGAATGCTCTTTTCCCAAACTAGACACAAAACATTCCTCTAAAGTCTCATTTCAAATTGCTTTTATTCCGTATTGTAACAGTAATATCATATATACTAGATATTGTTATATACATATATACAGGTCAAGAGAAAAATCCAAATTTAGATAGCTGACCCCTTGTTAGAAGTTATAAAAGTGGATGGGAATTGTAGTACTTCAGAGCAGTCATGCAAAATGAGGTACTGTGTATTGCTGAGTTTCTTGCCTTGCTTCTTCTACAATTTCAACCTAGCCTGGTTGAATTTAGATATTGTTCTGGGTAAATAAGAATAACTAGTAACTGACAAGGTTATAAAGAAGCCCTACGTGGCCTTCTTGCAATTCTGTTCCAAAATTTCTTCCTCTTCTCAATTTTGCACATTGTTCCTCTGTGAATTCTATCTCTCCAAATGATTTATGTCTCTGCTACAGGGACTGTCTCTCAAGTGCTCTCAAGTCTCACTAGTCGCTCTTTTCCTCTTTCTGATGTGGGAAATTCTCTTCCCTTCCCACTTGCACTCTCTACCATCCAAGCCCTTTTTTTGCTCTTCCAGCCTTTACATCAGAGCAACTTATGATTATCAGAAGAGTCATTCTGCTTTTGCTACTACATGATGATTGTCTCACATGCGGTTTACCTGCTACAAGTGTTCCATCTCTGCAGTATTTTATCTGGAACTCTCTGCTTGTTGCATTTTTAAAACACTCCTCTTTACAAAGCCACCTATGTTTGCCTGTTATGGAATTCCCCTATTTTTAATGTGAATGTTTTCACATCAATTATTCTTAATTCTTTGGTATGCTGTTTATTACATTGCAATCCTTTTAATTTTATTATCTATACAAGGCTTCACAAGGTTTACTTAGGGAAGAGGATAAAATGTATAAAACAGACAAGCGTTTAGGACAGTGGTTCTCAACCTGTGGGTCGGGACCCCATTTGGGGTCGAATGACCATTTCACGGGGGTCGCCAAGCAAGGCTGTCTGCCATTTTTTTGTCCGCCATTTTTTCCCCTTTTCCGGCGAGTGCCTTACCTCCCTTGGGCTGGGCCAGCTGGTGGTCGGCCTGCTCCATCTCTGCCGCTTGCCAGCCTCGGCCAGCGCAGGGGGCGGAACCACGCACGCACGGCGCTCCCGGGCAGGGAAAGTTCTCGACTTACGACCGGTTGGGTAGTCCTCGACTTACGACCGGTTCAGTCCTTGACTTACGACTGGTTTAGTCCTCGACTTACGACCGGTTTAGTCCTCGACTTACAACCGGTTGGGGTCGCGGCATTAAAAAGGTTGAGAACCACTGGTTTAGGAGAAGAGGCACAGAACAAACTTGACAACAAAATCTCACAAGGATTTTGCTGCACATTACAGAGGCCTGGCTGAGATGATCTTTGTAACCCCTGCTATATCCATAACTTTATGATAGGAGGTAGAAATGCTGCATAGTTGACAATTATTCATCTTCTACTACATGAGTGATTTATGAAGGGTGATGGTCATGATGACAACCATTTTGTGAATGTACCCACCAAATTTCAAATGTGCCTCTCACCAAATTGTTGCTTACCCCAATCTAGAAAGATTCAAACACTGAATTACAACCAAGTTGCTTAGAGCAGTGGCAAGTAACAGGTGGACATGTGAGCAGCACAATTTGTTCCACTGAACAGCAGGTGAACCTATTCAGCAAGCAACTAGGAGTTTTCTAGTCCTCTTCATACCTGAATTCAGAAGTATCCATGTATTTCTTAGAACCCTACTGTACAGTCCAAGTGAAACAGGGTAGTGAATATCAAAGTACAAGATAGGGAGCGTGGGGGTCTGTCCATAATCCTGTTCTGGACAATCTAGAGGCCAACTTCTGCTTTAAAAAAGAATTCTTTTTTTAAAAAACACACATTAACTTTGGCCAACAAAAAAACCCCGTGGTGGATCAATTAAGATTTTACCTTCTCTACATCTAATTGTGGATATTTAAGTGCTCAGTTCCACATTTCACCACATCCATGATTCTTCAAAATAACAAAGCTGATGACACTTTAGCAATAGAAAACTAAACTGGACAATATTACCTTGCTTGTGTACTGTTTTAAAACAAAATGGAGCAAGTACAAATTTAAGACATATTTTATTACAAACATCAGGATAGAGCAGTAGGTGGCAGCAACTCCTAGGAGACGGGAAGTTCCGTTGACCTGGCACTTTCCCCTCCTATGCTAAAAAAGTTGCCACCCGAATTTCACTGGCACTGTAGTTCAACCTCCCTGAATCACAGGTAGAAATAGATGCTGTAAATGCTACCAAATAAAACTAGGAAAAAGAAAGTGGGTCTATTCAATTTCTGTCACCTTCTAGAACAGAGATTCCCAACCTCTTGGCCACCGGGCTACGTAAGTGGATGGCCAGTGTGTGTGTGTGTGCAAGCTCACCTCCCCTCATGCTGGCGCGACCCTTGGCGTGACTCTAGCACCTGCGCTAACCTTGGCACGACCCTCACACCAGTGCTAGCCTCATCATGACCCTCATGCCAGCGCTAGCCTCGGTGTGATCCTTACGCCAGCGCTAGCCTCGGTGCAACCCTTGGCGTGACCCTCGCACCGGTGCTAGCCTCATCGTGACCCTCCCGCCTGCACAAGCCTCACAACCCTCACAACCATCACGCCAGTGCTAGCAGCCCCATTTACAGAGCGCACATGCTCATGGCCCCATTCACATGTACGCACGCACAGCTACATTTGGGTGTGTGCGCATGCATGTATAAAGGTGTCTGCTCTTTCCTTTCCCACCGGGCCGCCAACCCAGAAAGGTTGGTGACCCCTATTCTAGAAAGTGGTTAGCGCTCAATATGTAATTGTGAAATCCAGAATAAATATTTTTTCCTCAGGATTCCAGGGGTGAGTTAAGTTGCCCATCCAAAATTATGTCACTTTTGAAAAATTCATATTTAACTACTTGAAACAATCAAAAGGAATACAGTTAAAAATGTTGACACCTATGCATAGTTTAGGAAGTAACATTCTGGAGATAACATGGTGACAAAGACTGCCTCCAGGCTGGCAAAGGAGTGAGAGATGGCTGTATACTCTCCACTTATTTATTCAATCTAAATGCTGAATATATATACATATTAAAGAAATTTGGATTGAAAGAAGACACGTGTTTTTAAAAGAAGACAATGTGTGTTATGGTGCTAATATTACTCAGGTAGCTAAAAAGCAAAGATCTGAAAGCTGTAATAATAAAAGTCAAGGACTACAATGAAAAAAATGGGACTACAATTAAAAAGATCAAATAACAATGAGCCTTATAATTGACAATGAAAAGACTTAACTGATAAATATCATAGCTTCTGCCTTTTAGGATCAACCATCAACAGTAAAGGAACAAGTAGTCAAGAAATATACCAGTATCTAGCACTTGGCACAGCAGCCATAAAGGTCTTGGAACACATATTCAGACGTTCTATCTAATGTGTGTATGTTTAACAAATATGAGAACAGTGCAAGCAATTATTTTCCCTGCAGCACTGGGTGGAAGTGAAAATTGGACTTGTAAGAAGCAGGATAGGAAAAGGCATTGATGCTTTTGAACTTTGGTGATAGAGAAGATACCTGAGAAAACCATTACAGGCAAGAAAACAAACAAATGGATCCAGAATTCACACTTGAGGTTCGAATAACTAGACTCAAATTGTCCTACTCAAGACACATTATGCAATGACCTAGCTCTCAGGAGAAGGCTGGGAGGCTGGGAAAGGTAGAAGAGAAGAGACGAGGACAACCAGGAGCAACCTGGACAGACTTAACAGTGGTAACGGGGGTGCCTCAGAAGAGCTCAAGGGCCAGGTTAGGGACAGATTATCATAGGAAAATCTATCTGGTTAAGAGTCCACACTGATGAGATAGCACAAAATTAATCAACCATTGCAATCAGAAAAAGGAGATTCATCCCTAAGCTTAAAGAAAGCTTGGAATACTGATTTTGGTAAGGAGACAAAATGACAGATGTTATGGAAACTAAGTGGATTCACTTCTAATTCGAGGCAAGAGCCTCGGTGAAAGATTATACTTTGCTGGAATTTTACCTTGGTTAGTTTACTATACACGTATCATATTTATTCTTCTAAATGCTGGAGAGGATGCTTACAAAAGGAGTCTTTCATTTATGGTAGTCATGAGAAAATTATACTCAACTTAAAATCTTCAGCATCTTCATTATCTTCAAATATCTTCATTACCAAAAATGAATATACTGCACTTATTTGATTGAAAATAAAAAAAGAAAAAAACTTATTGTTTACTTAATTATAATAGCTAAAATAATAATAGGTGTACAACAGAAAACCTTACACAAGCTAACAAATAAGATATGGGTCATTAAGGCTTCTTCAAGTGCCATGCTAGAAAAGATTACAGATAAAGTCAGAAAATGGAAATGTCAGAGTCAGGAACCAAAATTTTGCTCATTTGGGCAGATTCCATGCATTATTTTAAGACATCTACTTATCAGCAAAGCTTTTTATATATGACAAATGTGAAGAGTTTTATTATTTATTTTTCTCTACTTGAAATGTTTTGAAAAAACTTTTTCCCCAATGCATTATGGATTTATATTATTCATTACTTGTAATTTTTTATTAACTAGTCTTCAATTAAAAAAAAATAAGGATTCAGTGAAATTGTCAAACCTTCAAGGTAGTCCAGACAAAAAAAAAAACAAAAAACCCCAAACCAAAAATACTATCCATAATATTACCCTTAGAGCAGACATGTCAAACACAAGGCCCGGGGGCTGGATGCGGCCCGTGAAGTGGTTTCACGTGGCCCGCGAAGCCATCCTGGAAACAGTGAGGGAATGGCCCCTGCTGCCTTGGCCCTGGCCCAGGCCGGCCGGGAGCCAATGTACAATTTTGTGGTGGCCATCTATGCTGAATCGCATTCAGTCTTAGTTCCACAAGACCATCTGGAAACAGTGAGGAACCAGCCCCTGCTGCATTGGCCCCACCCCCGGGTGCATGCTGGGGAGATGTCACCCTTTGTGAGGAATGAAGAAATGCACCATCACCTAGAAGTGGCCAGCAAATGGCCCTCATCTACTTCACATATCCAGCTTGATGGGCTCCGGGGGAGGGGTTTCTGCAGGCAGCGGTGTGCTCTCCTCACAGTGCTGAGAGGCTAAGCCGGGTGGCGCAAAACTGATGAGAAGTGCAATGCTACCTAGCCCCCAGCCTGCCCAGTTTCAGCAGGCACCAAGGTTTCCCAGCTCAACCTCTCGGCGCTGTGAGGAGAACACCTCGCTGCCTGCCGAAACCAGGCAGGCTGGGAGCTGGGTGGCATTGCGCAGGTAACGTTGACTCTCACGCTGCTCATGGCATCCCCTCCCCCAGAGCCCACCAAGCCAGATATGTGAAGTAGATGAGGGCCATGTGCTGGTCACTTCCAGGCGATGGTGCATTTCTTCATTCCTCACAAAGGGTGACACCTTCCCAGCTGCGTTTCTTGCCTGTTTTTCTCCCTCCCTCATCTCAAATATTTTCCCACCACTCTGTACTTAGGAAGGAAAGAAGGAAAGAAGGAGAGGGTGGATCTGAGGGAAGTCTTGCCTTAGTCCTGCCCTGCTGCCCTTTCACCATCCCTTGTCCCCTCCTCCTGGCCTATCCTGGGGGGTCTCCCATCCTATTGCTAAGGAAACTTTGGATACAAAGCCGGGTCTCCTCCCATGGAGAGGGAATGGGCCTCCCTCTGACTTTGCCCTCGTACCCATCCCTCTGACTTTGCCCTCGTACCCTGGGTAAAGAGAGCAAGCACAGAGCAGCAGCCTTGAGGAGGAGGTAAGTGCAGCTGGGCGCAGCAGCCTTGAGGAGGGGAAGTGGGGCTGGGCTTGGTGCCGCGGATGCTCGAGGGCCAGGCTGGGCATTTGACCTCTGCTGCCCAGGGCTCCGGGCAGCCTGCATCACCATCCAGAGCCACCCCAATTGGCCTGAGAGGAACGGTGAGGCTCCTCCAGTGGACCATGCCTTGGCACTTGCCCTGGTCCCACCTCCTTCTGCCAGAGAGCCTCAGATCTGTCCCACTCCTGCCCAGGCCTCCACAGGCACCCTTGACGCGAACGATGTAGAGCTGGCCATGCCCACCCAATAGGCCACACCCACTCTGTCCACACCCACTCAGTAGGCCACACCCAACCTGGCCACACACACCCCGAAGGCAAACGCAATGCTGATGCAGCCCTCAATGAAATTGAGTTTGACACCCCTGCCTTAGAGTAAGGTTATGGTAACATAATTTTGGAAGTCTGAGAGCAGTTGCCTCTTCCTCCACTTTTATGTTCCACAGACACTTTCTACATCACCATTCCTGAGTCTGCTTTGGGCTTAGATATCTCTTACCAAACTATTATCTAGGTTGCAGTTCTTCGTCTTTATCTCTCAATGTTATTCTCGCATCCATTAAATCAATATACAGTTTGGGGCATCTAAACATTTCCATGAAAATGGAGAATCCTCATTTTAGGTCACTAATTTCTACATTAGTTCAACTTGGATATGCTGATAATTCAGAGAACTAGTGACAGGTTCTGAATTTAGCTGCAGCAAGATTTGTTACTTCAAAGCCAAGCAAACCAAGGTTAAAAATATAACTCATAGATACATTAAATTGCATAAAAACACATCTGGTAACTCATTATTTCTTACCTGTAACCTGTGCTATTTCTCCCAACTACCAAGTGCTTTGGCTGACTGCCACATACATAAATGTTGAAATCATTCTCTGGCACCAAGTCCACATCATGGAAAATAAAACAATCCCAGTTCTCTTCTTTCAGTGCCTCCAGATATCCCACATTTAGAAGTTTTGCTCTGTTAAACTTGGCATTGCCAGCCTACAAACAATAAATATTATTATTATTATTATTATTATTTATTGAATTTATATCCTGCCCTTCTCCTTGCGGACTCAGGGCGGCTGACAATCAGTTAAAAATGCACCAATAACAATTACAAAATTAAAATTAGTTAAAAAGAAATATTTAAATGTTGTCTAATTAAAATATGATTAAAAACCCCTCTAAAAATTGCCCTAGGCCAGTCCCGCTTGTTGGAATAGCCATGTCTTGAGGGCGCGGCGGAAGGAAGGGAGATCAGGGATCACCCTGATCTCTGGGGGCAGCTCATTCCAGAGGGT